GCAACTATGGTGCCTACCACAGGGCTGACTTCTGAGGGCTGCTGTCCTGCTGTGGGCACCCACAGGCACAGACCGAGAAAGCAACAAGCAGCAGAGAAAGGAGAAGCAGAGGCAGTGGTGCTGCCAGCTGGTCCTCAGGTCCTCATGATGGCCTCTAGACTACAGATAGAAGACAGAACTTCGAGTCACTCATCCCCCTAGAAATATCTGGTACCCATCTACCACACGCTTGCACCATGTTAGGTGCTGGGTACGCAAAGATAAATAAGAGACAGTTCCTGCTCTTAGAGTTTGGATGCCCACTGCACCTAACACATAACAGGAGCCAAATAAGTATTCACTGTTACCTTCCCATTCAGCTTTATGGGGCCTCTTTTCTCTGCCCTCCGTGGTACGTTTTTAAATCCTTATTTAATGAGTACTTATAGTGATCTGAATTTTAGTTACTGGTGCGTATTTTATTCCCCCTATAATACAGCAGGATTGCTCAATATAGGATCTGTGTATTCTTGTCATTGCATCACTCAATAAATATTTACTGAACGAATGAGTATGTAATCATAACCAGTGTGTTGCCACCCGCTACCACCATCAGAACAGGAAGGGAGGTCTAGGGTCTGCAGCTGAGGGAGAAAGCATGTTGGGCTAGGAGTCAGGAGACCTGCCTGTCATCCACTGGCTGAGTGACTGTGGACAGCTCCAGGGTGCATCATGCTCAGTTGTAAGACGATGGAGTGGGCAGATGATCGCTAAGGTGCCTTCCCACCCTTAAGAGTCATCATTTTAGTTGTAGATTACAAATGACATTCACTGAGCCCTTGGCGTGTTTCAGGCACTGTGTTAAGAATTTTGCCTGCATTATCTCAGGTGATCCTCAGAATAACTTTTTGAGGTACCATGACTTTCTCTATTTTCTATAAGAAAGGAGACCTAGAGAGGCTAAGGGCATTTTCCCAGTACCACACAGTGATGATGGACTGGGGATTGGAACCCAAATTTAACTGACTTGGAAACCCATACTGTCAACCACTGAGCCAGTCTGATTCCTCTTCCTTAGCCACATGTCAGGCTGTTGGCTACCCTGTGGGCCATCACTTCTGAATAGCCTCACTTCCCATCACAGACAATTTTTTTAAAAACTGTTAGAAAGCCTTTGTCAGAGAGGCCCAGCAGGCAATCTTTGCATACCTCACACGGGTGGGTGGTGAGTTTCCTTATGTTTCTCGAGGCTCTGGAGCACCAGTCAAATTGCAAGCGTTCCAACAACACAAGGGAAACTCAACACAAGGGCAACGAGTGACAGGGGGTGCCAGCTGTGGCCCAGGCATAAGGCAGCTTGAACCTCATTGAGGAACCATCTGAGAAGGCAAGAAAAAGAAAAGAAAGGTATTATTTTGTTCAAGGAGCTTTGGGGAACTATAAAGACTTTGACTATCTGACAGATGCTTCTTGTTATTCTCCCCCAATTTAAAGATAGAGAGGAAAGAAGTTTACTCGCCAATAGACAACTGGCAGGATTTGCTGGGAGCCCAACAGTGAGGGCTGCCATGCCCTAGCCAGTTTCAGGAGAACATGGTACCTCACACATGGGCCTCAAAATACCCAGAAGTGGCAGAGATCAATGGCACTGATCAAAGAATTTGGGGCAGAATAGAAAAAAAAAAAAAGATTCCTCCAAAGAAACATACTTTTATAAGGAGACAGAAAAGTCAAGGAAAGCTCTAAACCTCTTACAGTTGTATCTGTATTTAAAAAAAAAAAAAAAAACGATAAATAACAACAGTGAATTCAAGAACTGAACAATAAATGCATGGTCCCAAAGTGATAAGCACATGCTACTCGAAGGAGAAGGTAGAGGAAAACGGGGCTCCTGTTTTAGAAAGCAAAGATACTGAGGAATTTAGCAGGAGGAAAGAGTCTGATTAATTAACTCCAGGCAAGTCAAAGGGCCTCCCTTCTAAACCAAATGACCTTAAACCCAAAGCAGGGAAAGAATATAAGTATGGGATTTGGAAGAAGATGGTTGCATTTTAATTGTCTCAAAGAGAAACGTGCAAAGGCAAAATCCAGGAGTTCTTTGGTGTGTGTGTGTGTGTGTGTGTGTGTGTGTGTGTGTGTGTGTGAGAGAGAGAGAGAGAGAGAGAGCGCGAGAGAGAGAGAAACAGAGTGTTTCTCTTGGTGGCAGAAAAATAGAAACCAGTGGCACTAGGTGGCTGCTATTCCCACAGTGAGAGGAAGTCCCATTACATCTCATAACAAACGAGCACAGTGAGACTTCCTATTAGTATTGGGCAAATGATCTTCCAGATATGCCTAAATCCAAACCACACAAAAGGAGCCAGGGCATAGAAAGGCAGTTTGCTCTGAGGCAAAATGACATTTTTCATGCTTAAATTACCAATTCCCTCCTCCACCATCTTCCTTTAAAATGCTGAATTGTTAGAGCAGTGGGCACTCTGGAAAAATAGGCAGGGAGAGATTTAGATTCGTTACCAGACAGCAAAGCCCAGCTGCATTCCCTTGCCTTTGTTGGAGCCTGCACATCCACCCTACTTGGCCCCCCACCCTCTCCTGCTCCCTCTCCCCCTTGGAGTTGGGCTCCCAGCAAACTCCGCCACCTTCCTCTGGAGCTGAATGGAAACATCCCCTGTTGATACAGCCTCATGCCCTCCCTAAATGTGGTCGACAAGTCAGTTTTCAGACTTGCCTGGAAAAGCTGAGTGCTCAGCTCTACCTCAACACCTAGGACACATCCAGGAATGGAGGTAGATAGCCAGACATGTCGTGAGGCCATTTTGAATTATTTCCTTGGCTGCTTCTAAAAACAACTGCTTCCTATCTCCCCTTCTCCGAAGATCATAATCCCTCACACCTCCAAAATTTAAATGGAATCTAGTAGAAATATTAAAATTTACAATTCTACACAAAGTGTGTGAGGGAGGAGACAGGGTCTCCGGCCGGCACTGTATCTTTTCTTCAGTGTTTACAATATGCTTTGGTGTTTCAAAAAAAACTGTGAAGAAATTTAATAGATGAAGAGAAATGGAGGTGGGAGGAGCGGGGAGGGGGGAAGAAGAAAGGAGAGAGGGAGGGTGAAAGGGAGGAGGGAAAGACAGAGGAAGAGGAGCCGGGAAGGCAGGTACCCTAAGGGGTTGATACAATTTCCTGGCCTGCTGCTCCACTCCTTCCCTTTGAGCACAGTAACACTGCCACCTAGAGGCTAAAAAGTGCCTTTCTGAACTCGTGCACCAGCGGGCGCAAGATGTATTTATCGGTGGAAATAAGTCTGTTAAGGATCTTTGAAAAGGGGAGGTAGGTGATGGGGGACTAGGGGTGCTATCAAGACTATAATATTTCAAAGTGGCTAAAATTTATTACGCACCTACTACGTGCCAGGGACTGAGCAAAGGGCTGAGAATACAAATACAGGTAAGACATTCCTCTGCTCAAAGAACTCAGTCTAAGGAGGAAACAGACACATATAGAAATCATGCAGGCTGTGATAATAACCATAACATACAGAAACATTGTGCCCAAGGTATCAGTGACATTAATTCTGACTAGATCTGGAAAGAATTCAGGGAAGAGATGTGGGTGAGTGCCGTCATAGGAAATCTGGACAGGTGAGTGGAGCTCCAGGTGAAGGTAATCACCCAACTAGGCACAAATTTCTAGGCACCAGGAATACTCAGCATGACTGGATGACAAGGAATGTGGATATTACCTGCAGCTGTGCAGAGACGATAACGGCCAGAAAAATGAGTTGAGCCAAACTATAGGTGACACTGATTGTTAGGCTGAAGAGCGTGTACTTTTGAAGTGGCACAGGGACAGGGCTCTGTGCTTTGTTCACTCTGGTATTCCCAGAGCCTGGAAGAGTGCTTGACGCTTAGCAGTTGCTCAATTAGCATCTGAGGAATGAATAACTAAAACCGGAAGTTAATGCAGAATTTGGAGAAAGAGATCAACTGGATAAAACCTATGTCTCTGGAAAATATAACTTGAGATAATCTGTAGGAATGGAAGAAGAGTTAGAGAGACTCCACTAGAAAGGTACTGCCAAAGTCAGGTAATGTTGGTCCAACCTAAGGCACAGCAGTGGGAATGGAAAGGCTGGAATGGCCAGGAGCAATTTTGGTGAAGTCAAATCTAGAGGTCTTCACCACCAACACCTGCTCTACGTGTTGAGCTTGAGTCATGGCACTGGCCAAGACAGAGAATGCAAAAGGAGGGACAGTGTTGGAGAGGAGATAGGGAGGTTAGCTGAACATTTCAGAGAGATGACCATTTCCGTTTCTGGGAGTATAAACCAGTGGAGATGGCCAGGAGGCAGTTACAGACACAAGTGTGGAGCTCTGGGAGGGCTCCTGGCCCACACGTAGCAGCCCTCACACAGACACGCACATTCTCACCTGAGCTGAAGGCTACTGACATTTCTTTTTTCATCCTGGTGTTAAATATAAGGTAAGCATGTAACAACACTGAGACTCAACCACAGTCTCTGCTTTGGTAGAGCCAGAAGGTGGAAGGAGCATTCTCAGCTTCCACATCTGGAAAATGGGAATTGTCGTAACCCACGTAAAGTGCTTAGCCCACTGTCTGGCATAAGATAAATACACAATAAGTGTTTACGATCAGTTTACAATCTAATCTCTCATCATGATGTGATAGGAAGACTACAAGATTAAAGTTCAAAGCCTAGCTCATCCACTAATGATCTGTATGGTGTTGGACGGGAAACCTGGCATCTCCAAGTCTCAAGTTGCTCATCTGGTAAACTGGGAAGTATTATTTGGCACATCTGCCTCACAAGATAAAACGAGATAATGCACATAAACAGTCTATAAACTTAAAGTCAATTTATGAATATTATGTAGGGCTTATCAAATGGAAGACTGAAGCAGAAAAATGTGAATTCCTTCAAGATACTGTGCTTCTAGATAAGCATGTATCTTTTTAACACCCTTCAGCCCCAAACAGAGATTCTTCTCTGCCCCCATTTAGCAGGAAATTCTTCATTTGCCACCTTTCTATGTTCCAGACATGCTTTCATCATAGCACATTTCCTTTATCCTATCTTCAATTGAGATTTAAAAGGAAATCTTTGAAACTCCCCAGCTGGTAGAACCACTAGGGAATCAAAGCATATTTGTTCTCTCTTCCACACAGTCCCCACATGGTTGACCAATCAAACTCATGCTATTAATCTGAATTGATAGGAAATGGCCTATTATTTAAAGGAGACAAAGATGACCATAGCAGAGAAATAGAAACAAGTAAGATTATTCAGCCTCTGACCCACAAAGCATTTTCTGTTTGTTCTCTGTGCTGTTGATTCCCTCTAGAACATACCTGTAACGAAAGGCCAAGAACCTGGACAGCTGCTGGTTTTAGTCTTGTGGACATCGACCCACCTCTGCACCTGTAGTTAGGCAACAGGAAAATCACAGAATCATTGGGCTGGAACTGAGGGAAATAGAATATGATGTGACTTTCTTCAGCCCAATTTATAGCACAATACAGAAAGTCTTTTTACAGTCAGTGACCAGCAAGCATTTAGTTTCAACTTAATCCCATTTGGGACCAGGCATTCATCACTCTGTAAGGAGCTCATCCCACCAATAGGCAGACTGAATCAATCTTTAGAAGGCTGTCTCCGTTATAAGTGGTAGCCTACCTCTCAGACGCCTCCATTCGTGACTCTCAGAGCTGCCCTCTGCTGTCACACAGAATGAACCTCCTTTTCCTCTCAGCCTTCTAAGTAGCCTGTATTCCTTCACAGTGTTCTCGTGTGATGTGTTTTGCTGTTTCAACTCATTGCTAAATAAAATCCTCTGCTACAAGAAAGACTTGAGGTCTCCTTGTTGTCCAGCTACCCCCAGGTGCTCATGGTGGATTAGCCCTCTGAAGTACCCCAACTGCACTGGGTGACTACTAAGTAGCCCCCCTCCACAGAAGGGCAGCATCCGGTGTGTGGTGTTGCCTGAGCTACGACCGGCCTGGAGGAGGCCGATGAAATACTTCATACTACCCAGCCCTTTGGAGGGGATGACCATGAGGACCACAATTTTTGGAGGAAGGTTGGAGGTATTTTCAACTTCTCTCAAACCAAAGGTGACAGCAATTCCCCTCCCTCCCCCAGGTCTGCTTGTGGCACCATCATGCTCTCAGTCAGCCTGGTCCTGGGGATGTGGACCCGGCTTCAAAGGCTCCTTCCCCATTTCCACATATCCGGTCAGCTGCCCACTTCTGTTCATTCTCCACGTGCACACCACCTCCCGCAATGCTCTTTATTCTTTATACCTCTGCTCAAGTCCTTCTTGTGTTCAGAAACACTGAATGATTTCCACGTTTCCAGATAGGGCTGTAAGTAGGGTTTAAGGAACAGCAAGCGGAGGCGAACCCCACAGGAACCAGCAACCACTGGGAGGCCATACTGTGGCTAGGCCTGACGGGCTGAAGGCTAGGAACAGTGTGCCCCGGTCCCTTGGGACAGCCGCGGGTCAAGGGAGAGCCTGTGACCGCAGTGTGGCTCAAGGACTGGTGGACAGTAGCTCTGCCAGAACACCAGCAGCTTGGGGATGGGAGGAGGGGGAGGTGAGGAGAAAGGGAGTAAATAACCCCACCTCTGCTTCCCCCTTCCTCTGCCAGCTGGCCATGTCTCCCATTGTTGAATTCCGACAGGAAAGCTGAGGGTAAGGAAGGCCGTGTGATGGAACCACGGGAGTCTCCCTCCTGGAGCACAGAGCAGGGAGGGGAAAGGCAAAAAATAGATATAAGGGGCATCTGGAGAATAACCCACACACTCCCTCACCACTATCCTATCTGCAGTCAAATGCATGAGCTCATGATTTCCTAATCACGGACACAATTTCCTGATCTTATGCCTTTGCTCACACCACATCGTCTCCTCCCAATGCTTTTCCCCTGCAGGAGAGACCTGCTCAGGGTCATTCAAGAGTCACTGAGGGTCGTGTGTTCACTCACAAGATCCCTGCTACAAGCCTGGTACACAGAGATATATCTGGTAAAATGAAGGATCGAGCAGGAGGGCAGTACTTGTAGTCAAACCCCCAAAGGTGGGGTTCATCAACTAGGAGAGATGCTCAAAGGAACCCCTATAGGTCGTCAGTATAAAAAAAAATTTTTTTAAAGGAGAAGCAGGCACTGGAAATGGAAATATGGACCTGTGTGTGATGACATCTGTCATCGGCAGCTGAAGGGAAAGCCCGTGTCTCCACAGCACCTCTCACTCCCCAGGTCAGGGGCTTATATGGTAGGACTGCTGGGGAAAGTGGGGCTTCAAATCCTGGGCCCTCTTGAGCCAAGCCCTCTGCCCCAGTTGCCAGGCTCCCGGGTCCTCTGAATTGATCAGTGGAACAGTAAAGCCGGTTAGGCACTTAACAATTCTTTTCAGAGTAAAGGTTTCCCTCCCTGCATAGTTCTCGCCTTTTGTCAAGGAAAAGAAAAGAAGAATCAACTCAGAGTGAATTCCTTGTAGCTGGATGTTTGTAGGCAGCAGATGCTGCCAGGAGCACACACAGCGTATTTGTCTGAAACCAGCGCCTGCTGCACAAAGGCGGGAGGGCCCCTGCCTCCACCTCATCAGGGCCACCCTGGGGGCTGCGGCTCAGAATCCAGCCTTCAGGGGGCCAAAGAAGCCACATTTCCTTCTAAGTAGGGTAAGTGGGGCAAGGTGGGGGGCATCTAGGCATTCTACATGGATCTGGAGAGCTGGCAAACCTCCTATCATACAGAACACTTTCAGAGAAAAATCGGGAAAGCTGAGGAGGAAGCTTCTCATTTATGTATTCAATGAACATTTGCACGTAGCCTGGCAGAGCAGGGAAGAGCATGGGCTCTGAAGCCAGACTGAATGGGTTCAAATTTCGTCTATGCCATCAACTAGCCGGGTGACCTTGGGCAATTTGGGCACTCTCTCTGTGCCCCTCTGCTGGGAGGCCTAACTCAATCCATGTTAAATAATGAGTACAGTACCTGGCATAAAGTAATAGCTCTCAAGAAAACTATCTCCATCTTCAGATGAGGTGATGTGGGTGAAAGTTGGTTATATAATTTGCCCAAGGTCATTCAGCCAGTAAGTGCTAGACCTAAAATTTGAAGAGTAGCAATGAACCAAAAGATAAATTCATAATTATTACAGCTGGTAAGAAACGCTATGAAGACAATGCAAAGCGTCCAGTGATAGAAGATAGTGGAGGACCCACTAGTGAAAGTGGTCAGGGTACCCCATGCTGAGACTTGAAATGAGAGAAGCAATCAGTTGTGCAAAAAGCAGAGGGAGGGAATCCTAGGCAGAGAGAACAGCATAAAGGAGATACTCAAGTGGGAAAGAGATCAGAAACTGAAGGAAGAAGCTGAAAGAAGTTCTGGCCTGGCTGGAATGGGGTGATTAAGGAAGAAAGGATGTGGGATGTGTCTGGAATGGAGAACAGGATCCAGATCATGGCAAGAACTCATAGGTCATTACAGAGACTTCAGATCCAAATGCAGCTGGAAACTACTAGAGAGTGTTAAAAGGAAGGGAAACCTGATCGGAGTGTTTCCCTGGCATGAGCCAAGAATGAAAGCATGGGGGATTCTTAGAAGCCAACTGTGATAATGTTTAGTGATTTGGACCAGGGACACACTAAGCTTATTATGGATGAGGGAAGTACCCTGTGACCAGTATAGAATAAAGGTATCACTCACATCCTCAGCCTGGACTTGATACAAATAAAACTTTTTTTATGTTTTTCATCATCACTGTCATCATTACTATTAAATCATGGGTGGATTTTGGAGAGAAGATGGTGATAGAGTAGGAGGACCCGAGGCTTGTCACATCCCAGGAACACAGCACTCAAATCACGGGCAAAGATCAAAGTGGTCCTGGGCTAGTGATGACCCCACTCAGGCTCCTAGGCATGGGTTCTCCCCTCTGAGATCACAGCGAACTGCACCATGCCCCAGCCACAAAGCATACACAAACATCTAAAGAAACCCCGAACATAAAGAGCCCAGAAAGAGAACATGTATCAACAGCCTCAAGCACAGACATAAGGATGAAGACTTAGTGCAATCATGGGACTTGCATGTTAGATTCAATTGTCCTTTTGCCTGTATTGCCAATGAGGAACCATAAGTACCCACTGCCAATTCTCTGTGTCTGAATGCTTGATACATTCCTGCAAAATATTAGGACTCACCCATTCATCCATAAACCAAAACTGATTGAATACACAATGCTGTATCCCCTGTACCGAGTGTTAGGAAAATACTAAGACAAATCCAACACCATCTTTGTCCTCAAAGATCCTAAGTTTCCTTACTTCACAGACAAGGGACAACTTCAGAGCAATGTGACTGAAGCTAGAATAAAGGGAGAACAAGTTGCCTCAGAAGTACTTAAGATAGCCATTTAACCCAGGGGCAGGGGCAGAATCTCAGAAGGAGGGCAGGGAAGACAAAAGAGGGGTGGGGCAGTATGAAGGGGACTGGAGAATGCCTCAGGGTTACACAGGGACTGGAGACACTTCCTGCGATTTAAGCCCAACATCAAGGAAGTAGTAAAGGGACATGAGGCAGGGTCCCCATCAGGAAGAGCCTTTAGGTTATGCTAAGAAATTAGGGCTTTTTCCAAATTCTATGGGAAGCCATTACACATTTTAAGGGAATGTACAATGGTCGTATTTCACTTCAGAAGAGCATTCTGTGTGCAGTGTGAAGAGCAATGTAGAGGGGGAAGGACTGGAGGCAGGAAAGCCAGGGACAGTCTCTTATAATTCAGTAATTAGGAGGGTGTGAGCTAAGGCCGGAGCAAAGAAGGTGGACAGAAGGACCAATCATACCTACCAGGTACATTCAACAGGAGATTGTGACTAATTGGATTTGGTGAAAAGACAGAGAAGCACCAAAATTTCCTCCCTTGTGTGAGAAATGAGGCCATACATGAGAGGTCCCTGCATGCTAGCCTAGGGTGTCTGGGCTTGAGACGGTAAGCAGTAGGGAGACACTAAATGTTTTTGAGGAGAGGAGAGTTCGTGGCTGTTACTTAATATGACTAATATGCCAATAACATGTAATACAGGTTGGAGGAGAGACACCAGAGGGGAGAAAATAAGTGAGAGCTCTCTTCTGACATCTACTAAGTGGGTGGAATTAAGGGGCATGAACTAAGGGGCACGCCCATGGACAGGAAACAGTGTGGGGTGGAGGCCAGTGCAGGCATGTTTCTTGGCGGGAATACAATCAAGAACAATGACTTGCCTTGACAAGGAACAGAGCTCTTCAAGCTCTGAGATGGGACAAAACCTAGGGAGGTAGTTTCCACACGGAGAAGAGCAGAGCTGTTGAACTCCTATCTGCCCCCAAGCTTGTCAGTGGCATCGACAGCCATGAAGAACCAACCAGCTAAGAGCGAAGGGTATATATTAAAAATTATGTTGAAAGCAGGAGCACCTGGGTGGCTCAGTTAGGTAAGCATCCGACTCTTGATTTCGGCTCAGGTCATGATCTCAGGGTTTGTGGGATCGAGCCCCACATTGGACTCCATGCTGACAGCATGGAGCCTGGTTGGGATTCTCTCTCTCTGGCTCTCTGGCTCTCTCTCTCTCAAAGATAAATAAACTTTTAAAAAATTATCTTGAAAGCAAATATTGAAGACCTATAAAAAAGTTCAGAACTTACTGTTAAGTAAAAAAAGCAAGCTACAAAATGACACAGGTGTCATAATCCTGACAGTGGTCATCTCTCAGAAGGAGAGTTCTAGGTGATTTTTATTTTCTTCTAGATGCTTTTTGTATTTTCTACAATGAACAAGCATGACTTTTATAATCAGAAACCCAGCAGAGTTTAAAATATATCTATTAAGCTTATACAGCATGGCTGTCTCACAGAATTGAAGAGAGGGACCTGTTTGTTAACTTCTTTTTCCAGTACATTTATGGTTCTTGAGTCACGGAGTAAATTAAATGCTCCTGATAGGAAAAGCCATGGGTTCCACTTATAACACTCATGGTCCCCCTCATCACCCTGCAGGACCCTCACTGCTCACCAGAGGGTCTTCAACCCCCTTCCCCAATTCACAGGGTATAGGCTCCAGGCCTCTCTCCCAGGAACTCCATGGAGGAGTAGCTAGATCCAGCCAGCTCTGAGCCCCTGATGCTCCCACCCCCATTCACATCCCCAGCCTTCACTCCCTATCTCCCTCCTTCCCTTCCCTCCTCCCCACTCTTTTCTTCCTCCCCAAACACAGACAGCAGTGTTCTTTTTCTCCCCAAGGCTCAATCCCAAAAGCTCCATTTCTGATGACCAACTTGCCTCTCTCATCCCCCAGCTCCCAAATTCTCTCTTTCTGAAATTATTAAATATGCTATTCAGTTCCAAATCCCTGTGGGAGCCAGGGCCAGAATAAAATAAAAGAACTCAAATTTCTTTGAAGAGAAAGGGAGGGTTGGGGGGAAATGGACATGCAAATCAGAACCTGCCAGGTTATATATCCCCACTAAGGCCAGCTGTGTTCACAGACGCTTCTTAAATATTCTGTATACAGTAGTCCCCCCTCAACTTATCCATGGGGAACACATTCCAGGATACCCACTGGATGCTCCAAACACAGATGGTATTAAACCCTATATATACTATGTTTTTCCTTATATGTACACACCTATAATAAAGTTTAATTTCTAAGTTAGGTATGGTAAGAGATTGACAACAATAACACTAAATAAGAACAATTAGAACAATACGCTATAATAAAAGTCATGTGAATGTGGTTTCTCTTTGTCTCTCTCTCAAAATCTCTGTACTGCACTCACCCTTCTGGTGATGATGTGAGATGATAAAATGCCTGCAGGATGAGATAAAGTCAGGTGAATGACCCAGACCTTGTGACCTAGGTAGGCTGCTATGGACCTTCTGACAATTCACCGAGGGAGGATCATCTGCTTCCATACCTCAGTTGAAGGTGAGTAACTGAAACCACAAAAGAGAAACAGCAGATAAGCAGGACTGTTGTACCTATAGCATCTTGGACCCCAGTCACAAGTGGTTGTTTGCAGAGGATTTACAAAGAAAGGAAGGCCCAGGCCTTTTCAGCAGGATGAACTCTACCTGGTGGTGATGGAGGATAGTGATGCAGAAATAAAGAGGACAAAAAGAGGAAATCCATGGAAGTTTTATATATATATTTAAGTTTTTATATATATATATATATATATACACACACACACACACTATATATATACTATACATGTTATATAGTTATATATGTATTAATATATAATATATAGTTTTATATATATATAAAATTCATTGGCAAGATAACTAATACACAGTGTATACAGTGTGCTCTTGCTACCCCTGAATTTTCTGAGTTAATGAAATTAGACCTGGGAAATTTAACCAAGGTGCCCAAGGTCACCCAGTTATTTATTTTTATTATTTTATGTATTATTCTTTCTTTTAATTATTATTATTAGGTATTTATTATATTTATGAGTACCTCAGGCAGCAGGGATTCGGTCTAGGTGCCATCCTGGGTGCTGGGGAAAGAGAGCCCTGCCCTTAAGGGGCTTCTAGTCTAATTATGACAGAGCTGGGACTTGAACCCAGGATCCAGGCTGGTATTTTCTCCTCTAGGACATAACATTTCCTGAGTTAGATCTCCTTACCTATAAATAAGAAACCGTTTTTAATTTTGCCAAAAATTACCAAACATTTCATAAGACCTTTTAATTACAAAAACAATTATTTATAACTCTAAATATACACCATGAAAAAAGTATCCCTAAATTCTGGTGGAGCATTTCCTAGAGACTCTAAAAACAAAGAAACTACTCTTTTGTTACATCAGAGAAATCTTAAAATACTTGTAATTATAGCTTAGATTTATAATAATAATGTTCTTATTATTTCATGAAACACTCAAAAGTGTTTCCACCGATGGCATCCCATTTCTTCTTACAACACTGCTAAGACTTTTAACAGAAGACTCTATGAGGGAAAAAATGAGATATAGAATTTGAAATCACACGATTAATGAAAATATTAGCCTACATACCAGTTGCCTGATTTCCTGCCTATATATTGTTTTGGTTCCACAAATCTGAAGAGAAACTTCCTAAAACAAGTATTTACAGAGTCGTAGAAAGTTAGTGCCAAGGGACCATAGGTGTCTTTTAGAAGAGCCCTATGCTTTTACAAATAGGGAAATTGAGGCCATTTAGTGGCCATCCCTAGTTCCCAAGTGGCTGCTCAATATCACATCCACCATTAAAATCCAGCCCATACTTGGCTGCAGGAAATCACACAGAAAGCCTTTAGGTAATAAAAGACAAGAGGAGGTGTCGAAGGTCCATGCTAAACCGGGCAGAAGAATGAAGAAGTGGAGTAGGCCAAAAGAGCACAATCATTTGGGGACTGTATCCTCCTGACACTCCCAGGATAAAAACCTGACAGAAGGAGGTCTGCTTGGCAAGGTTAACAGAAGCTTGGCTGCCAGGCCCCCCTCCCAGCCCTTGGCCAAATGAAATCCAGGTAACAAGCAGCAGGGAGGCCCTAAGGACCTGCTGGCAAAGGAAATAGGGCACTCTCCAAGGAAGAGTGAAGTGTAACTCGAAAAGGAGCTAGGTTTTAAAACACAACAGGAATGAAAGGAAATGTCTGACATGTTCTGATTTCCAGCTTTGTGTTTTGCCAATTCAGGTCAGCTCAGGGCCACCACCTTGCACAAATCCGGGGGCTCCTCTCACAATGTGCCGGTCCTAACTAACATGGCCAAGGGCACAGTGTCTAATATGGAATGAGGAGCCCCTAGTGGAGGGTCTGTAAAGGAGGCGCAGCAGGGAAGGCAGCAAGCCTGAAGGGCCAGAGCTGCTGGCTGGGCTGACGGGGGTCTCTGTGGCCACAGGCCCACTGGGGCTCAGACAATCGACTCTCATCTATCCATGGTAACAGCAAGAAAGGTAGCCCAGCTAATTTAAATCCATTGCTATAATCAAAAAACCCCACTGTAGCTAAAAGTCAGCCTCCCCATCCGCCAAATCTTTTAAAAAGAGCTGCTAATAAGGAGCAAAACTGAGTGGCTTAAGTTTTATTTCCTTTTACATTTCCTTTCTGGTAGAGGTGTTAATGAGGATGGAAAGGCCCAAAGAGCACAGAGAGAGGAGATGAAAATGGTCTGGAAAATATAAACTGTGCAGTCAACCTTCAAATAAGGGTGGGCCGATGCTAACAGTAGTGGTCAGACAGACATCTGCAGACAGTTCAGAGAGTTTCCTTGTAAATGGCTATGGAGATTGTAAAGCAAGTGAGGGGAAACATTGAGTAACAAAGGAGACCTCGCCTGGGAGTCAGAGGACCCAAGTCCATGGCTTCTCTTGCCCTCAGCTGTTTCCACTATAAAGCAGTAAGTATGGACATAGTGATTTAATGTTCTAAAAGTCTAGGATACAAATTCCCCTAACTCTGTAATACTGGGTTCTCTATGCAGAATGGCAGCGTAATCATACCTACTCTTCAGGCTCTTAAGATTAAATGAAACCAGATAACATAAATTTATGATGCTCCAGGCATTACAAACACTTAATATGCATCAAATCATTTATTTCTATCAGCAACCTCTACAAATAGGAATTAACATGACCACCATTTCATAGATAAGTGTGTTGAGGCTTGGAAAAGATAGTGGACATGTCTAACATCACACACGTACCAACTGATGGAACTGGGACTTCAAACAGATCTGTTTGAGTTCAAAGCTCATGTTAGTAACCTCTGTGCAACACAGCCACTCCGTCAACATGTGTGCAGGCTCCTGAAACATACTAGATTATCAATAAATACCAGTAATGCCTAGACTATCACCCAGTATGATGCACTATTTTCATAAAGGTTTGTTGAATGGATGTATAAATGAGCAAATAAACTCACACTGAGACAGCCACTTGGGCTTCCAGTGGCCATCCAACCCCATGGTATAACAAATCCAATTACCAGGGGACCTCTAGGGCAGTTGCCTTTTCAAAGAGTTAGAGCCACAGTCAAGGAAGTTGTGTCTATCCAAGGACTAAAATATGGAAGAATCTCAATAAATCACAGCAACCACATTATAGCACAAAACACCTAAAATACACTTGAGCACTATGATTCTGGCTTTTGGTGAATCTTGAGAAGAATGAACAGACCAGGAAAGACCACTTCCTATTTAATGACATTTTCCTGCCCAGCCCATTCAAGAAGGAAAGAAGGAAGAACTGGAATTTCGAGAAGGAATTTCCCTATGTTCATACTGCCTTCCTGAAGTTCTTTTGACTTTCTACAACCATATGTAAGAGCCCCATCAGAACAGGGTGACATTTATTTTTTTTTTAACTTTTTTTTTCAACGTTTATTTATTTTTGGGACAGAGAGAGACAGAGCATGAACGGGGGAGGGGCAGAGAGAGAGGGAGACACAGAATCTGAAGCAGGCTCCAGGCTCTGAGCCATCAGCCCAGAGCCTGACGCGGGGCTCGAACTCACGGACCGCGAGATCGTGACCTGGCTGAAGTCGGACGCTTAACCGACTGCGCCACCCAGGCGCCCCATAGAACAGGGTGACATTTAATGATGAGCTGTTGAGCAGGGTACATGCCTTCACTCACCATCCAGAGCAGACAAAAACAACTGCTGAGCAAACCTCTCCCAGAGCTACAGTTATAAACTTCTACCCCCCCCCCCCCACTCCCCATGGCAATCCCAGTCTCCAACAGCTAATGAGCAGGGTAAGAGGTTGTATAAAAGAAAAGAAGTGGGTTTCTTGGAATCAGGCATCTGTGCAAGCAGCACCCCTGCCTGCCTCTACTTCCTGTTCAAATCAGCCTCATCTCTCCCTGTCTTCTCCTACTTGTGTTGCTGAAGACCTAGGTTACTGGGTGCTAAATGGCCGTCTCAGCTCTTGGAAAACTCTCTCAACCACACACAGCATCCAATCCCAAGAGGCAAATTCTCTCTACTTCACCAATACAACCAGCAAATTGTTTGAAAAACAAGAAAGAGGGAATAACATTAGAAGTAAATAAATCACTAGAGCATGAAAGGAACCTTCTCAAGACACACAGACGGACACAAAGGGCAAAGGGAGGGTAGGAAATGAAAAACAATGTATGCTGTCCTCTAAGGCACAGAAGAAGAAACAAAATGTGTGTCGGAGCCCAAAGAATGCGTTGCTTCAAACTGCTAATCAATGTTAGACACCAACACCAGCAACTGCTAATAACGAAGGAAGAATCACCTCTCTTCAGCTGTAATTATTTCTGACAGGGGTCTCCAGGAGGACTGTCAAGACTCAGGTTAGCAGCTCAGGGTGATAATAACCCAAGATTACCAGCAATCCGCACTGTCTGGAGAAAAGATGGCTTGGAGGAAGGGAAGTGGCAATTAGAAATACTTGTCATGGTAATTGCATTGTGAATAGCAGGCATCCACTTTTCTTCTGCCTGACTTTAGAAATACATCTTCCAGGCAGGTAGAGCAATGAAGGAATACATCACATTTTCAGCAATAACAGTGCAGGGGGAAAAAAAAAGTATTATTTCTGTCCAAATAACGGTGTGCTGGATAATAAAAACTCTTAAAGTCCATATGGCTGAGAACAGTATTATCTGACCAACCAGTGAAGCTTCCTTAAGCCAACCAGCAGCTTCCTGATCTTTTCACTTGTAATGATAACTCCAGTCCATGTCCACATATTGTCCTCTGCCAAGACCAAGACAGCTCTCTAAGGACAAGGAGTTGAGGCTCTTTGACATTATTCTTCAATACTTAACTTTGTCAGAAATGGGCACATTAAAAGTTCTCCATGCTGGAGCTCGTCTAAACATTTAAACTGAGAATGGTCAATCAAGGCCTCTCACGTGTCCATCCTGTGGGCTTCATGGTTCCAACAAATGGTACAGTGTTACTCTTCTGTGGGTTTTGAAAAACTATGGAGGA